TTGAGGTTGCAACTTAAATATTTAGCTGGAAAGTTAAATACTTAGCTAGCTACCTAAATATTTAGGTTGCAACTTAAATATTTAGCTGGAAAGTTAAATACTTAGCTAGCTACCTAAATATTTAGGTTGCAACTTAAATATTTAGCTGGAAAGTTAAATATTTAGCTAGCTACCTAAATATTTAATCTAAATATTTAGCTTGCTGATTTAGAAGTGAAGGCTCTCTTTAATGTGACATATCTGCTACTTTACATAAAGTGGACAAATAAAAATTTACATATGTGACCATCAGAAGTTTCTGCTGCTCACAGTCCAAGAATTTATATGAGCTGACTTGCAATTTTTGCACAGAGACTCTGAGGTTATAGTCTGTGCTTCTGTCTGCATATCTGATGGAGACTGATGCTGCGTTGTTCCTTATGCAGTAGAGAAAAGGTGGGACTCTCCAACCAAAGCAACATTTCAACATCCCTGATTAGAATAAGAAGAATAAAAAAGAAAGGGTCTGATAATTAAGTGTATAAATTCCTAAACAGATCTTAATGTAGCAGAAAGTTTAAAAACAGCTGAGCAACACCTGGAGCTGCACATTTTATCACTATTATAACCGTATTCCTAACATTTACTTGTAAATCAAACGCACATGGCAAACTTTCAGTGGGATCTCACTGCTGGTGACTAGCTGGTGAACATCATTCCAAAAGGAGTCTGTGCTAGAAATTTCTTCTCAAAACACTCGATTGTTGCAGTTWTATCCAACACGTCTGAAAGCATTCTCACTATGTCTCTTTTCTCCTCTCTTTTTTTTTTTACTCCTGCAGAAGAGCTCCTCTCTGACAGTAAACATGTCCGGCTTTAAAATTAGCAATAAACAACTTCTAAAATAAAAAAAATTAAAAAATGGGAAAAAACTGGTCCAAATGCATGGTCAACTGGCTGCTTGATTGTATATACCAGTGGGGCCCAAAGTGGGGCCCGCAGGCCAAAAATGGCCCGCCAAGCCATTTGATTTGGCCCACCAGCAGTTGTCCTGGTTATTGGATTATAATCTTTTGTCTTATGTAGAAACACTACATTTCCACTTTGACTATTCGATCATTGGTCCAACTATACATACAAGCACCTGTAGTCAGATAGTCTTAACCCATGCCACTCACTTTATCTTTGAATTATGTTAAGATTAAATATAAAATACAATTAACTACAAGAGACATTTAGATTTGATGTAAACCCATATCTAGATTTGCACACCGTATAAGACCCCATATACTCAATTTTTTTTAATTATGAAAAGTCCCATGAGCCTTTGCTGCCCGAGCATACGTTGAATTTTCTTCATGTCCATAGGCTAAAAAAAGCAAACAAACAAACAAAAGAATGTGGGCGACCACACTGGCTTCTAGCTTAATCATGAAAAATAAACAACTTTACTCAAGATGTATTTGCATTTCTTATATTATTGCATTTGGCCCGCGGTCCTCAAGTTGTTATTTTATTTTGGGCCTCTCAGGGAAAATGTTTGGGCACCCCTGGTAYGCAGAATTTCCTGAACAGAAAAGTTGCATTTTTCTCTCAACACTGAGTCAAGCTCGAGTCGCCAGCTTGTCTCCAACAATCACAACCCAGTGAGATCCTACCTTCAGCTCAGTTCTGATGTTTTATTATGGTTGATTTGTGTTTTAGGTAAAGTCAGGACTGTTGCTTCCTCCATTTCTTGATTTTCTGTTGAGCTAACCATTCTGGCTTCATTTATTTATTGTGAGTGGAAAAAACCACACAAACGACAAAGAAAACCAATAAACAATTTCCTTAAATTGGTTTTAAGAATGTTTAAATTGACTTTTTTGCTTATTAATGAAATGTGTATATTTTATTTGTTTATTTTTTGTTGTTTTACTGTTTCCAGGTTTGGACACCAGCTCACCAGCCAGCACCCATGAACTCACCATTCCTAACGATGTGAGTGTGGCTAGAGGTATCCAGAGACTTAGATTAGTGCCAAAGATTATTTTCATAGATTTAATTTGTGTACAAATCATGTTAAAGGTGACACTTAGTGTTGTTCAGTATCAGTAGTGATTGAGTCTTAGCTGTTTTTTTCAGATAGAAAGATGTAAGTACACTGATATATAGAACTTGTAAGATTTACTTAAAAAATCCTCAAAACAATTTGCACTAAAGTTTAAGTAAATTTAAATGCTACAAATTCAAGTAATATTTACTCATAATTATCTGTAAAAGTTACTAAGAATATAGTTAAATAATTTGAATAAATCAGGTAAATTTTACTTAATTTGCTCTTTTAAATCTTGTTACATATACTTGATCAAATTAAGTAAAATTTACTTGATTTATTTACAAATCTTTAACTATATTCTTAGTAACTTTTACTAAATGATGAGTAAGTATATGTAGCATTTAAATTTACTTAATTAACGTCAGTGGAAATTGTTACAAGGATTTTTTCAAGTAAATCTTACAAGTTCTTTATATCAGTGTAGTTTGCTCTAAATCGTGTTACATATGGAGTTTATAAGGAGAAAAATGCTTTGCAAAAAATACTTTTTTCTTCACAAGCAAATTATTTGCATTAATAAACCAAACTGTAGGGTTTTAATGGGAAATTGACTTTGTAAATAATAC